CACACGCGTCCAAGTACTCCACAGCGTGGCTGGCAAGAAAGGGTATAAAAGAAGAAAATCTAATGACATGGCCTCCTTGTTCACCTGATCTGAACCCCATTGAAAACCTGTGGTCCATCATCAAATGTGAGATTTACAAGGAGGGAAAACAGTACACCTCTCTGAACAGTGTCTGGGAGGCTGTGGTTGCTGCTGCACGCAATGTTGATGGTGAACAGATCAAAACACTGACAGAATCCATGGATGGCAGGCTTTTGAGTGTCCTTGCAAAGAAAGGTGGCTATATTGGTCACTGATTTGTTTTTGTTTTGTTTTTGAATGTCAGAAATGTATATTTGTGAATGTTGAGATGTTATATTGGTTTCACTGGTAATAATAAATAATTGAAATGGGTATATATTTGTTTTTTGTTAAGTTGCCTAATAATTATGCACAGTAATAGTCACCTGCACACACAGATATCCCCCTAACATAGCTATAACTAAAAACAAACTAAAAACTACTTCCAAAAATATTCAGCTTTGATATTAATGAGTTTTTGGGTTCATTGAGAACATGGTTGTTGTTCAATAATAAAATTAATCCTCAAAAATACAACTTGCCTAATAATTCTGCACTCCCTGTACGAACGCAAGCCTTTAGATGAATGGTAGAATGAGTTCTTTCCCTTTATTAATGTAAAAGTTATGGATTTTTATGCAGTTTTCTGGGACATAATAAAACGTGGTCTTTTGTGCGCTTGGAGATAATTAGATTGTATAACCGTTGGCCTCATTATCTCCAAGCTGGGCAGGTACTAATTCAAATAATACACTGTATTGTGGTTGGATATTTGTCTGTACTGTACCTGTATTCCATCAGGTCCACAGGGGGCTGTCCTTGGACCTGAGGAATCACATAAATTGCCATGCTATGTGCCAGTAAAGCCAGTTTGTTTTTGACCCTCAACTTGCAGCCTCGACTCATGTTGTAGGGATCCGGGATATTGATGCTTATACCGTGCTTGGGGATATTCTACACTTGCAGCTTACTACCGAAAGACCTCAGTTCGACTCTCTGCAGCGGGAACCAGGACATCCAAGCGATCAACCCTCCTGCTAGATCGGGGGCAATCGTAACAGCTTCCACACGGGTATTCTACACATACCATCCGGGACTCTGGAATGCCCTAATCTACAATCCGCACAACATAATCCCACAGCTGTTGACACTCTCTTAGCCCAAGAAGGCCTTTCAAAGCTCCTCCATTCAAAATGGCTTACTAACCCCACTGGTATTGTCACAGGGAAATCTCCCCTTAAACAGAGACTCATCATTGACTTGTCTGCACCACACTCATCGGCCAACCCCAGTCTTAATTCCCTCATACCCTCCGAAGAATTCTCCCCTAAGAAAACAGAGGGGCCAGATACGATTATCACTTTCCTGGGTATTCAATTAGACTCAACCACAATGCAAGCAAGCCTACCACACGACAAGATAGAGAACATTCTTACTTATATCAACCGCTACCTTCAGCTCGGTACTTGCAACCGCAAAGAGCTACAGTCCCTGCTGGGGTCACTAAATTTTGCCATGCGTATCATACCTCAAGGCCGCTCCTTCATATCATGACTCTTGTATCTTTTTCCATGCTTCCTACACGACACACACAGGTTGTCCTTAGATAACCAAGCTACGGCAGACCTACGCATGTGGAAGGAATTTTTAACCACTTGGAATGGTAAAAATATGTTCCTCCCTCAATTGACTGACTCATCACCTACTATTTGGTCAGATGCAGCATCTACCACAGGTTTTGCAGCAATTTTTGGGAACGAATGGCTTTGGGGCAGCTGGCCTACAGCAGTTCAGGATTTGGAAGGTTTTTCCACTACCTCAGATCTCTTTGAGATCTATCCCATTGTGGCGGCTGCCGTAGCATGGGGTCATTTATGGGCAAACATGCCAGTTCGTTGTTACTCAGACAACCAGGCAACCTGTCACATCATCAACAAAGGTTGCTCAAAATCCCTTACGATCATGAGATTTCTGAGGAAACTCACGTGGTTAGCAGCTTGTCATAATTTCTTTATATATTGTTTCCATGTTCCAGGAATATGTAACACAGCTGCTGACAGTTTGTCTCGTTTTAAATTTCAGGCATTTCATCAAGCACTCTCGTCAGCTGCGCTCACAGCCACTATCACTCCAACATTTCAACAACTAATACTGGACTAGACATCATCATGCATCATAGCAGGACACTGTCCCAATTGGCACTGTCAAAGAATACACACAAAACATACGACAGGGCTTTTACACTATTTAAAAGATTCCTTTTGGAACATAACATCATGCAACCATTTGTTATGACATCCTTTTCGGGTTTTGCTTCTTTTTGCCACCTTAAACTTAAAATGTCATATAACACCATCAAACTTTATCTCACAGGCATTCAACACCATATGCTAATCTTACAACCTAACAACACTAGTTTCATGGCCTCTCACGAGATCAAGACCATACTCAGAGGCATTCAGAAATCTGAACCCACACGTACATCACAGAGGCTACCCATAGATAACCATATCTTCAAGGCATTATCTAACCTGCTTGATTTAAAACCTTTTGACACCAATACAAATTCTGTCATCAAAGCAGCAATATACATAGCTTTCTATGGATTTCTAAGACCTAGAGAGTTTACTACAACCAACATAACACAATCTGCTCCTATTCTCCTCTATTCCCACTTAACAAAACACATGGATCATTACATCCTAACGCTACCTCACTCCAAAACCAGCCAGCACATACCAGTAAACATTCCATATTACCCCACGCACAACAAATGGTGCCCCGTCAAGGTTCTGGATGCATACCTACAGCATCATATTTCAATACCATCACAACCATTACAGGGAGTGCAGAATTATTAGGCAAGTTGTATTTTTGAGGATTAATTTTATTATTGAACAACAACCATGTTCTCAATGAACCAAAAAAACTCATTAATATCAAAGCTGAATATTTTTGGAAGTAGTTTTTAGTTTGTTTTTAGTTATAGCTATGTTAGGGGGCTATCTGTGTGTGCAGGTGACTATTACTGTGCATAATTATTAGGCAACTTAACAAAAAACAAATATATACCCATTTCAATTATTTATTATTACCAGTGAAACCAATATAATATCTCAACATTCACAAATATAGGGTATTCTTTTATACCCTTTCTTGCCAGCCACGCTGTGGAGTACTTGGACACGTGTGATGGAGCATTGTCCTGCATGAAAATCATGTTTTTCTTGAAGGATGCAGACTTCTTCCTGTACCACTGCTTGAAGAAGGTGTCTTCCAGGAACTGGCAGTTGGACTGGGAGTTGAGCTTGACTCCATCCTCAACCCGAAAAGGCCCCACAAGCTCATCTTGATGATACCAGCCCAAACCAGTACTCCACCTCCACCTTGCTGGCGTCTGAGTCGGACTGGAGCTCTCTGCCCTTTACCAATCCAGCCACGGGCCCATCCATCTGGCCCATCAAGACTCACTCATTTCATCAGTCCATAAAACCTTAGAAAAATCAGTCTTGAGATATTTCTTGGCCCAGTCTTGACGCTTCAGCTTGTGTGTCTTGTTCAGTGGTGGTCGTCTTTCAGGCTTTCTTACCTTGGCCATGTCTCTGAGTATTGCACAACTTGTGCTTTTGGGCACTCCAGTAATGTTGCAGCTCTGAAATATGGCCAAACTGGTGGCAAGTGGCATCGTGGCAGCTGCACGCTTGACTTTTCTCAGTTCATGGGCAGTTATTTTGCGCCTTGGTTTTTCCAAACGCTTCTTGCGACCCTGTTGACTATTTTGAATGAAACGCTTGATTGTTCGATGATCACGCTTCAGAAGCTTTGCAATTTTAAGAGTGCTGTATCCCTCTGCAAGATATCTCACTATTTTTGACTTTTCTGAGCCTGTCAAGTCCTTCTTTTGACCTATTTTGCCAAAGGAAAGGAAGTTGCCTAATAATTATGCACACCTGATATAGGGTGTTGATGTCATTAGACCACACCCCTTCTCATTACAGAGATGCATATCACCTAATATGCTTAATTGGTAGTAGGCTTTCGAGCCTATACAGCTTGGAGTAAGACAACATGCATAAAGAGGATGATGTGGTCAAAATACTCATTTGCCTAATAATTCTGCACTCCCTGTACTACTATTACAAAGTTCGGTACTCACCACAACAACCTTCATGACCTACGTCAGGTCTTTGCTCACTCAACAGGGCCTCAAAGCAGCTAACTACTAAGGGCACTCCTTCCACATAGGAGCAGTGTCCACAGCCTCCAGTGTCAACATTCCAGTTCATGTTATAAAAATACTGGGGCGCTGGAAGTCATCCGCTTACTCACGATACATACCGAACCCAGTACAAGAATTAAGAGATGCTTTCAAAAACATGTCTGGTTGATATATGTATCTGTATTGGTTTTCTGTAATACATTTGATTACTTAATTTTTGCCCTCTTCTTTCTCAGACCTACCTCATCGTCGGTTCCGGCACACCACAACCGACTTGCCCTTTTTACTATCCTACATTTAATTATGGTATTTTACTCTGTACTATCATGAGCACCTAACACATATATATATATATATATATATATATACATACATATACATAAAACTACAGCTCCTTGAAAAGCACACAATGCAATCCCAACAGACATATACTCACAATGCAACCTTTAGATGCACACGCACACACTTTACAGGCCCTTTTAGCACACACACACACACACACACACACACAGTTTCTCACACACTCACAAATTGCTTCTGTAGTGATGCCGGGGTCGGAGTGAGGTCATCTCGCTAAGCAGCGCGCAAGGGAGCAGAAAGGAATTGCAGGAAGGTTACTGCTCCCTCACACACTGCCTCCATGCTCCCCGCGGTGGCTGGCTTTAATGTTTCCTGCACAGCTTAGCAAAGGGTGACCTGGCACCTGGAATTTGTTGAGCCCTGTGTATGTGTGTGTGTGTGTATATATATATATATATATATATATATATATATATACACACACACACACACACACATACACAGTTATGATATATATACACAGTTATGAAATGTGTGTGTAAATATATATATATATACACACACACACACACACACACATACACACATATATACACACATTTTATAACTGCCCCCCTACTTTTGTTGCTGGCCACTTATGTGCCCCCCCTAAGTGTGAATCCTGGAGACACAACTGTGCTGAATCAATTAGTCTTTATATCCAGAATGCAATGTATATTCCATTTATACCAGTTGCTAACCATGGTGCTGAATGAGTTACTGTCTTTATATCCAGATTTCAATATATATTCCATTAATACAAGTTGCTGTCGAAGTTCCAATCTTTATATCCAGAATCCAATGTATGTTCCATTTATTGCAGTTGCTGTCCATGGGGCTGAATGAGTTACTGTCTTTAGATCCAGAATTCAATGCATATTCCATTTATACCAATTGCTGTCCAAAGTTCTGAATAAGTTACAGTCTTTATATCCAGAATCCAATATATATTCCATCTATACCAGTTGCTGTCCATGGTGCTGAAAGAGTTACCATCTTTATATCCAGAATTCAATTTATATTCAATTTATACCAGTTGTTGTCTTTAGTTCCATATTAAAATGTATATTCCATTTATGCCATTTGCTGTCCATGGTGCTGGATGAGTTACTTAGATCCAGAATTCAATGTATATTCCATTTATTCAGAACTTTGGACAGAAACTGGTATACGTTACAATCTTTATATCCAGAATCCAATGTATATTCCATCTATATCAGTTGCTGTCCATGGTGCTGAATGAGTTACTGTCTTTATTCCAGTTGCTGTCCATGATGCTGAATAAGTTACCATCTTTATATCCAGAATTCAATTTATATTCAAATTATACCAGTTACCATGTCTTTAGTTCCATTTTAAAATGAATATTCCATTTATGCCACTTGCTGTCCATGGTGCTGGATGAGTTACTTAGATCCGGAATTCAATGTATATTCCATTTATACCAGTTGCTGTCCAAAATTCTAAATAAGTTACAACCTTTATATCCAGAATCCAATGTATATTTCATCTATACCAGTTGCTGTCCATGGTGCTGAATGAGTTACTGTCTTCATATCCAGAATTCAATGTATATTCCTTTATTCCAGCTGCTGACCGTAATGCTGAGTGAGTAACTGTCTTTAGATCCATATTTAAATGTATGTTCCATTGATGCCAGTTGCTGTCCATGGTGCTAAATGTATTTAGATCCAGATTTCAATGTATATTCTTTTTTTTTTGTAAATATGTTTTTATTTTGGTTTACATTGTCGATAATAAGTCACATTGAGACTCGCAGGTCTCCGTAGGCCTTTAGGGCACAATAACCAAAGTACAACATGTGCATAGCGTTTTTATGTCGGCCATCCGGGCGCGCAGTATTCAGTTGCTCCGTTTGTTAAGTAACATTAGGCAAACTTCAGTGTGGGAAAATAGAAACTGGTCTGCTTGAGGCAAACACAGAGGGGTGAGGGAGTCTGACTTAAAGTAAATAGCTCAAAACTGAACAAAGACAGGAATACACCCAAAACCTGTCTGGAAATATAGAAAACAGGGATAAACTTCAGTGTGGACTCGCAGGTCCACTTAGGGTAGGACATAAGCAGCCGTTGGAAAGGAATGACGGTCTGCAAAACCAGCATTGGTGACGTGCCGGTCACAATGTAGCGGGTGTTATATTCGGGTGTCGGGCCCGTGAGTCTCTTTGCAGTAAGGCGGTCAGGTATTACCTCTAGTAAACGCTAAGGTATGAGGGTGGGTCCGCTGGCCCCGTGTTAAGTCCCGTGGCCT